ACACCCCCCCCCCCCCCTCCACATCGTTGTGAAATCATTCCCTTGTGCCTTACCCGTTCTTTTTTGTTGCCAAAGTTCTTGGGGCCCTCGGTGACGCTTCGATATTTCGACCACTTCTCAGAACGTTCTCCGCGTTGCTCCAAAGAACCAAGAACACCTGGTTGTTTGTGTTTCCGACAACCTCACAAAAAGCGCGGCTACAACTTGAACGACGGTTCCCCTTATACTCATGCCTCCCAATCTGTGGAAAACTCCCCGCCCCCCTCGCCAGCTCTGATGTCGAAGCCGTGCCGCAAGCTTCGCGATGGGCTGTTTGACCGCCGCCATTGCCCGCACCCACCCACCCACCCACCCACCGTCGTGACCATTATTTGTTGTGGATGCAGGTGGAAACCTTGTTCCACGAGTTCGGTCATGGATTGCAACATATGCTCACCACCATGGTCGACGGGGACTGCGCAGGTGCCTTTTTTATTTTGTTGCAGGCGTTTGTGAGCGCTGCTTGTATTCTTGGCACAGTTTGCCGGTCTTGCGTTTTTTTTTTTTTGCTTCGCTTCGCTTCCTCTCGTCGGTTGTGGTGTGCGTGCACCGCTTGTGTAGCCTAAGCAGGCCGGTGCCATTAGTGTTGATTGGACTTGACCCGACCAACCTCTGCCTCGTGGGCAAAGGTATAGATAGACCCTCATGTTTCACGGCGGCATGCACGGGGGGTTTTGGAACGTTTGAAGTACAACATTTTTTTTTTTTTTTTTTGGTCTTCACTTCCAGTCAGCGCTCACAGCACGTGTGCCGTTTACTCCAACCCGTGGTCACACAGAAGGGTTGTTCTCTGCAACTGCGAATGTTTTGATCTCGCCTCTATTGGTGATGTCGCCCATCCTCTTCTCTTCCGTTGGTTGACGTTGACAGGGATCAACGGGGTGGAGTGGGACGCGGTGGAGCTGCCTTCGCAGTTCATGGAGAACTGGTGCTACCACAAGCCCACCGTTGACCAGGTGAGGAAGCGACAAGCCGGACTTGTATGACGCGTGTGCCCGCCTGATGGTGGAAAAACGAGCGTTTCGTCGTGTGTTTCTTCATATCTTGAAGATTCTTGTAGCAGAGTCGGTCGTGTTTTTTGTTGTGCGTAAGCCTGCTGAGGATGAGGATATGACCAACGGACGTCGGTTGTTTGGTCAACTTTGCAGCCGTGTCCATGCCCCAAGCAGTCGGTTTCGCATCGAATACGCCCCTCAGGCGAGACACAAATCACCCCCCCCCCCCCTCCCCTTCCCACCACGAATTAGATTTATTTTCGAGCCACGTAGCCCCCTTGACATATCTCTTTGTGAAGTAACTTTTTTTGTTCCCATCTGTTGTGGGCCTTGGAGGTGTGTCCTGCTTTTGCCCCAATCCAGTATTTTTTCTACAGTTCTGCTTGCCCCCAGACCCACCTACTGATGCGAGACTCAACACCCCGCGTCTGAAAACTTCGCTCACACTGATGCACTGAGTCCCCCGACCCCATCAATACTATGGCGTTGGTTGAGATCTTGTTGGTGCTTCTATTCTGTCGCCACGGGTTTTGTCGCAATGTACTTGCTCGACAAATCGTTTTTAATTTGAAAATCGGAACAGTGTGGCGAAGAACCTAACGCCACTCTCATTGATGCGCTGAGCCGCCTTCCCATCCCATGGCGTTGGCTGAGATCTTGTTGGTACTTCTATTCTGTCGCCACCGGTGGTGTCGCAATTTTACTTGCTTGAAAATCCATTTTTTTGTTTGTTTGATAATCGGAACAGTTTGCGAAGCACCACGAGACGGGCGAGACCCTCCCGAAGGAGCTCTTCGACAAGCTATGCGCGCAGCGGACGTACATGGCGGGCTCGGCCATGCTCAGACAGCTCTACTTTGGACAGGTGTGTGCTGTGTGTGTGTGGTTTAACATCGACCGCGCTATCCTGCTACAACCAATAAAAATACGTATAACAGTCTCAGTGTGCGTCTACTGGAATGGTTTTGAATGGGAACAATATTCGCACGTATGTGTCGAACACTGCTGCTACTGGAATCATGACCACAATGACTTTCATGCATTCACCACAATGGCTTTGGTGTATTCACCACAATGATCTCCATTAATTTCGTCTTTAGCGATTTCCCTTGTCGCTGCCCCCCCCCCCCCCCCCCCCGGTTACGTCCCCCAG